ATAGAACTGGGGACCGGGAGGGCACTTTCTGAGTGCAGGACTTACCACGTGTCCGGGGCTGGTGAGGCAGGTGGATTGGCACAGGTCTCCCCCTCAGCAACGGCATCCAGCTGTGTCAGTTGTCCATTGCCTGCTGTGTGTGGCAGGTCGGCACCTGGCCAGGGCACCTCCACACCCACCTGCCCCTGGGAGGAGCTGGCAGCAGCATGGCCAGCCACTCCTCATGGCAGGGTGTGGGGCTGGGCCAAGGGCAGGCAGTCATTAGGCAGGGCTCCCTGAGCTGCTGGTGGATGCAACAGCTGGGGATGTGGGTGGGACAGGATGCTGAAGGCCTGAGGTCCCCTCCTCTGGTGACACCACTGGAGGTGTCAGGGTGGGGTGAGGGCAAAGGCAGGCTGCCCCTGCTGGTGATACTCATAGGGGTGCAACCTGTCTCCTGGGGTGCCAAAATTTGGGTCAGCTCTTGCCTAAAGGACATGGTTTTTTGGGCACAGTCTTTTGGGCATGACTGCACTGATGATTGAAGTTGGTCATGGCCACCCACTGTGCTCACAAGAACTTTGCTTTCATGTGGCATTACTGCACCATCTGGGAGTAGCCTCACGCATGCATCCTGCCAGGTATGGCCTCATAAATGTGGGCATTTAAATGCCCACCCCACACGAACTGCCTCCGGACATCAGCCCTACCCCAGAGCACCACAAGATTGTGAATCTCCTCCAGGTTTCAGTTCAGGGCCTGGGCACTTAGGATGGGCTTGGGTGTGTGGGTGGAGCCAGGGCTCAATGGGGATGACATGCTGGACATGCTTCCCACACTCTGGGCCCTTGCACAGCTGTCCCTGTGATGTCGGCCCTGGAAGGCTGCCAGTAGCACCCAGGACAGGGGCATGGGCAAAGACCACAAGCTGTATGGCAGAGGCACTTCACCACAGTGTCTGCAAAGAGACAGAGCTGAGAGTGAGGAGCAGCAGGGAGCAGGTGCTGACTGTGCTACCATAGAGAGCAGGGCCAGGAGCCCTGGGGGGGAGTCTCAGGGCTGGGCAATGGATGCAGCAGGCTGCAGCCCTTGGCAACACTCATCTGTGGTGAAGGAGCAGCTCCAGCTAGAGGACAGGACAGGCAGAGGCTGCCTGGGTCCTGACCAGCGGGGGCACATGGGGCCTAGTGGGCTCCCGCAGACTGCATTGGCTCCTTCAGGCTCCCTGTGCTGTGTGCCCAAAGGCACAAAATGAGGCAAACCCAGCACTAAAGTTCTTGTGTTAATGTGCATTAATGTATCTACATGTGCATTTATGCACTTTAACTAATCGTTCCTAAATTTGATACTTGCTTTATGCAGGTCTTAAAGTTAGGTGTGATTAGCCTAAAATCACCATTTTAAGGCACATTAAATGCCCATGTGTAGACACGCCTACATGATAATAAAATCATGTAGGTTAACATTGGTTAACACTGAGCGAAATCTATCCCTGTGCAGTGACACAACCATTACTCCGTGACTAAGTGGGATTTAAGAGGTGTTATTGCTGTTGTGCTGTCACTTTGCACACAGGAGTGAATTCTGTCCAATGTTCTCAACTTGATTCTGAGTCATTTACTTTTCTCAATAACTGGTATCAAATATACTTCATTGCTATTCCATGCAGACACTATTAATTGGCCAATTCCCTGTAATCTTCATGGCTGAAGTCGTTGTTTGGGAGGGCCAGGGAGAGGGCAATTGTCTCATGGATTAATAGTTATGAAACAGTTAAACAGTTAAAGTCTCAGCATAACTCTTGCATTTAAACTGTGAAACTGCTCATTGTCTGACACCTGACATATCAACAGGTATTTGCATAAGGAATGTGGCTTGGAGACATTCCGATCCATAGTTTTACATGGTTCAAACTGATTTTGGAAGTATCTGACAAAGTAGCTAGGAACAAATTTGCAATCAAATCACTGTTGGGACCCATATATGCATGACATGTGGGTATCCAGTAGAGTCCTCTGCCTCAAATATTAAACTCTTTATAAATGTCAAGTCTTACTGCAATTGCAATTAATTAACTGCCATTAACTGCAATTAATAAAAAGTCCCAAAACTTCAAAAACAGCAGGACTAAGGGCAAAATTACATAGTTTAGGTACTGGGTCAGAGATACGAACCATTCTACCCTGTGGGAAGCTGTGAAGGGACAGTGAGAAATATTCACTGCAGGGAGACTGCACTCAAGAATAGCATTGCTTGCTGCCTTTAGTTTTCCTAGTCCAGGGAAAGATTGATATGGGAGTAAAATGGAGCAGCCAGAGGATAAAGTCCTTGAGTTCTCCCAAGTACAGGGACTGCAATAAGAAATGGCCCTTGAACTTGGCTGTACACGATAGGGGGAGGATCCTGGCATTCTCTCCAGCAGTGTGCCTATGCAGGAGCTGGCCCTACTTTGGCCTTAAGTCAATTTGCTCTACTCCTCTATTTTCCGTAAGTGTGGGCTCAGTGCATATTAACTCCTCAGCTTCAGCAATTTTATTGTGTCTGCAGGCAGCAGGAGCAAATCGACAGTGAAGAATTGGACTGTACAGGGTTTAAAATAATGCCCAGATTTTGAACTGAATCAACACAGGGGTCTTGCATAGCCTTAGGTATTTCTGAAGTCTTCTATCAGTCCACGCGATTTCAAGGAATAGAACATGTGCTGTACTCCCTGGGAACTATGGACGCTGTTACACGTGCTCTAGAGTTGGGGGAAGTAGAGGGGGCTTTCATTAAAGTGCCCACAGCGCCTTGTGGATTCAGTGTCCTGTGCTTCAAAATGGCAGTAGGGGTGGTTTAACTAAAGCTTGTTTGACAACCTTTAGTTAAAGCGCCCCCCCCCCCACCATTTTGAAGTGTGGGGACACTGAATACACATGATGCCAAGGCTGCTGGCGCATGCTAATTAGAACATGCTGGGATAGGCATTGGGCATGTGTATAGCTGCCCTATAAGTACTGGGGTAGCCCAACAAAACACTGTAAGTGCCTCGCTATCTCTTTCAATTTCTAAGTCCAAACCGAAACCCCTGCTGAGCTTCCGCCTAATGATAAAGTTCTTTAGGAATGCTGGGAGCACTCCAGTCTTCACAGTGTTGGCCAGCACATCTCTCTCACACAGCCCTACTGTGATTTGCAAACTAAATATCCCTTCAAAACCTGCCTACAGGACTGAGTAGACAGACATTTTATGGCAATTATGCCTTACAGCTTATGTGCTACAGCAAATGCAACTATTATCCAATAGTTTAGTAGTTAGAACACTAGTAAGGATAGAAAAGCTTTAAACTCAAATCTGTTCACTGCATGATGGGATTTGAAGTCACATCTCTCACCTCCCAGCAGTGATCCCCAATCACCAAGTTTTGGGGTACTCAGGGTTCAAGTATGTCAAATGTACCTTGGCTTATCCTTTGCATTTCTGAGCAAATTTTGATGTGATCCTTTTGTATTGAGCCAGGGCACAGGTGTGATATTGCAGGGATTTTTGGCATAAGGTCTCTTAAATACTCCTTATGAGATTAGCACAGATATATTTTAAAGAATCACGACAAAGCATGAAGCAGGATGTGATCATTAATGGTGCTCATTATATCATCTCAAGGCCACATTCTGATAGTCTTGTTCTCATGTTACAAACCATGCAGTTTAAGAAGAGGTCATCTGATGCCATGGACGTGAACGTGAATACCCGCTCAAGGTGAGCGAGGGTGTTAGAATTTGGCCTAGGGGACTAGTCTGCATTCCATGCTTACTGCCCACGTTGTCCTACACCGCACAATACATTTCCTCAGAAAGAATCCTGGCTCCTCCACTGAAGTCAAAAACAAAACTCCGACTGACTTCACTGGAGTTATTATTTCACCCTAGGAATTTTGGATGGTACACAAAGCATGAAGGATCAGGCCTGTTATCCACAAGCTTTAGTTGAGGTCTAAGCATAAAGAAGCTTTAGTTAGATTCTCAAGAAGTCACCAATCCCTCACTGCTTCACTGCACTCTTACAGGACCACCAAAGCCAGACACTAAGGGGAGGCCGTCTTTACTGTCCTCAATGCTCTCCTTTTGCACATAGCTTTTCTTACTCCTGAGGGCTGAGACACCACGTCAGAGTAATTAGGTTTGATGGCAGCTCTTTCCTGTCCTCTATGCCCAAGATTTGTAAAGCAACAAAGTGTAGTTTGCACTGCTGTATTAAGCCTGTGTGTTCAAGATTATGTACAGAAACAAACTAATCCACCCATGGATTGATAAAGGCTGTAGTGACATTTGATTATTACTGCTATAATTAAAATCCTTCAAAACTTGAGGTGTCCTGCAATATAACTGCCTTTGAAACAAGTGCCACCATCTATAAACAAACTGTCTAGTGTTTTTTTTAGACACATATACACAAATACTTTTCTTAGCTGTATTACTTAAAGCATTATTGCTGTTATTGTTACAGGTTTCATTGCTACCAACAGAACTCTGAGCAGGTAATGGGGATTCTGGGCATTCAGAAAGATTCTCTGACACAAGATAAACACAGGGTAAAAGCTTTGCTTACTTTGGCAGTCACCCAGGCCATCTGTATTGCCATGCTCTATGTCCTGTTCAAATGCCAGTCTAAATACCAGAAAGAAACATAATGATGTGAATAACAACACTCACAGGCACCACCAGAGAGAAATCAGTACATTTAAAATTGAAATACAGATAAACAACAAAACTGATCGCTTCTTTTGGAAAGCAACACAACGCTTGAAAAACACAAACATGGGCCATTTGGGGTAATTTTCACCTCTGAATGGTTCTTTGGCTGCAGAAGACACTTCACCTTTTTTGGTGGAAAATCTACTACATCTCTATAGTCCAATGAAACAGACAGATATATATCTTCATGAAAAAAATGAAGAAATTCAGTGAATTGAGTGATAACCCTTAAGCAAACAATGAAGGCATCAGAAAGCAATTATGATTCTATCCTTACTTGCTTGTACAAAGTAGAAGGTACAGTGCCATTTTGACAAGAAAAGGCTGATGAAACAATGTGTAGGTGCTGAGCTGAGGTGCCATAGACCAGATTCTTAAAAAGCATTAAGTAAATATTATTGTGCTGAGCATTTCAGGGTGGAAAACATTTCAGCACCTAACTCCCAATAAAATTAACAACCTAGATTACATAATGGACTTTTGCACTTAAGTCTAACCTGGCCTTGCAATGCCAAGTGGGAAAAAAAACTTAAATGCCTTTAAAACGCTGGTCTACGCTACAGAAATGCTGATAGATGACAACACTCTGCTCTTCAACGTTGTTCTATCTAACGACCGCTCTGAGGCACAATCTGTGTTGCTATAATGAATACAACACAATGGAGCATTATAGTTAACTAAGATCCTACAGCAGATCTTTAAAAAACCCCTCCAAATTAAAAGAAAGGATTAAATGTCTGGTTTAGGTAGAGGGATGATAACTCACCCATTTTGCATTTATTGAAGACCTGTAAAGAAGCAGTGTTAAGACAGACTGCCTAAAGGAATACAGAGGCCATCTGATGCTAATGCTACACTTGTATCATCAATATCTTGATGTAGTACAGCCAAAACTTAAAGTGGGTGAGCTTGTGGTGGTCAGACCCAGCCAAGAAAAGAGACCTCTGAGGTGGGTCTGTTGTCTGCAGGGAGGCACTTACAAATGTATTTAAACAAGCTTTCAGAGCCTTAAGAGGCTCTTATGAAACAATGAAATTTCACTGTTAAGCAATGAGACCCATCACTTCCTAGTTTACTCACAGCCCTTGCTAGTGCTCTGTGATTCCTCTTGGTAATGCACAGTAAATTAGAAGGACTGGTTTTGTTTTCAGTGGACAAACTGCTTCAGTAATCTAATTTGGATTCTATTGCTTCTTTAATCAGCTGTGATGGCACCAGTGTGTGCTGGTCCAGACTTGCTCATCCTGTTCCTTCTCTTTGAGCAATATGTGAGACTTATTGTGTTTCTTTCTTCTTTTGTTTTTTTCTTCAGGGTAACTAATCAGCTGAGAATTTGCATCAACCAATATAGAGGAAATCCAGAGAACACAAATGAGGTGAAAACATACATTTTGCACATTCTTTTTTCCAAGAGCTCAGTGTTGCCTGTTGGATTTTTCAAGTAGTTCTGTCCAAACCTAGAGCTGATTGCCATCAGTGCTAAGGTCAATAATTTTTACTCAGTCTACCAGTGCCAATGTCTACTTACTTAGCACTAAATAACAGATGTGTACATGTCCCGCTTTCTTTCACCCAGCCACAGTATGGGTCTCTGGAGGCTATGCAGGCCCTTTAAAAAAAAAGAACATGAAGTAGTTATGGTACTCCTTTTAAAGATTTCTAATAGCCTGTATGCTTTGCAAACACATTTTAAACAGCAGGAAAATACTCCAATGAAACACGTACTTTTTGCACTTTCCATGACGCTCACATCGTCCCAGGGGAACCTTTATCACACAGGTAGAGAATGCTACATACAGGGCACTGCTTTGTTTGTCAAGCTGCATACCCATAATCCTCTTGTCTTCCACTCCATCATAACTGCACCTGATTTGATGAAGTAGGGTAATGTTATAAATGGATTCCTTGGGGAAACTTGTTAATAGCATAATGAATCCTTAATCCTAGTAAATTCAGGAGAGAAAAATTTATTAGGCCAGGGGAAAAGAATATCCATCATCCACTGAAATCACTGTTACAAGGATTTACAGAGAAGTATTACACAAGCATCATGTGTATTGCCTCCTTTCCCTAACATCAGAGGGGCAGCTGGTAGGTCAGATAATTCTACAAGCTATATTAGATGTTGCAGATATAGCTTTTTGCATTATAGCCACCACAGTAGAAATAGGAAGCTGCTGGCATGACATACTTCATGATGGCTCGTCAAGTCTTAAAAACACTCCTCTCCTCATCTAAAGTAGCTTGAATTTACTGAAGTTGATTGCACTGAGGATGGCCGAGGTTTGGGTTGTGGGTCTCTGGTTGCCACAAGATCAGTGTTTGGAGGTATTAGGAAAGGGTACGTTTTGTGGGGAGGTTGCTGCTGAGCTTTGACTGTTTGTTTTGATTAAACTGCATTTTTAATTATTTGTCAAGGGTGCTTAGGACTAACTGGGATGGACAATTTTTCTCAGTATGCTGTAACTAAAATAAAATATAATTTAGAGATCTGAGAATAAACACAAAAGACAAAATGAAAATGACTCCAAAACACTGGCTTCTGGGGCCATTTCCTTTCCACAGGACAGAGTGTACCCTGGGATATCAGAAGTGTCAATGCCACCCTGTAGGTATTCACAAAGAGCCAGATACACACTTTTCAGGATTATAAACGTTCATCTCCTCCAGGAAAAGGCTATCATTTAGGAAACCGCTGTTTCCTGTCCGGGCCAAGAACTTCAAGATGATTCCCTTCTCTGATCCCAAGAAAACCACAGTGTAATTCTGATATGGTCCAGCGGCAGTGTCTACTGCAATTTTGGTCAGACGATATCTAAAATAACAACATAGCATTTATCATCACTTGAGTTGCAGTGTCATTTATTTTATCACTTTTTCCACTTCAGATAATTATTTGGTAGCCTGCTTGTAATTTTATAGTAAATATATATGTACATGAACATTTTCCCTAGCAGAACTAACTCTATAGGTTCTCAAAGAGTGTATTAGTTGGGCTCTAAACTCTTTGTGTGGGTGTGGGCGTGTGCATGTACATGTTTGTGTGTATGCGTGACATGGCTAGCAAAAGTGTTTGCAACAGCAAACCTCAAACAGCATGCTGAACAGGTGAATAATTCTCTGAAACCATTTACTTATTACCCTTCTAAGCTGAAACGAAGTTCTGGTCTGATGACTTCTAGGATCAGGAAAAGAAACTAAGTACATAGAATTTTTTAAATGTCATGTTCTGTCACATAAAAGCAGTCACGGGTGCTGGACTGTCTATATTCATACTTTTGATAGTAAAAGCTATGCCAGTGCAATACTGAGACACTAAATGCTAAATAAGCTAACTAAGCTCTGCTTATACTTCCCTGTGTATAACCATATAACTACCACCAACATAGCCCAGATGTTGGATGAGATCAGCTCATGATGAAGAACAGCTGTTTGAAGCTGAAATTGAGCAAGGCAAATATGATACTCCCAAGCAAGGAAATGCATTCTGAGGAGTTTGCTGCATGACACAATCAATTCTTTGGTCAAATATATAGACAAAATCATTCAATTCAATCTGCAGTTTAGGAATGCTTCTGGATTCCTCTCTGATGCTAATCTGTCACATAACTACATCTACAAGTAACACTTTCTACCATCTCCAGGAATCTAGGGGACTGCAATAGCTCTGGTTATACATGATTAATGAATTAATACAGAACACTGTAATGTATCTCCTCAGCATCATAGACTACTGCTACCTCATCACATCTGTCCTCCACTCTTTCTTCCATGGCCTGCTGTAGAACATTGAATCAGATGTCAGGACTCTATCTTTATTTTCAGTGCGGTCTATAGCCTAGGCACATGGTCTTACAGCTGCAAGAGGAGAATACTGGTTGACAGTTTTGCTTCTCTGGCATCATAGGCCTTTCAATAATAAGGATGAATCTTGGCTATGTGGGTGACAAAGCTTAACCGGTACTGTTCCTGGCCATGAGATAAATAAGAACTAAAGAGAAGCACAAACCTCATCAACCTCTACTCAAAGAACATTCCTTTAACCTGACTACTTTAACATAAACACATAGCAGCATTTACATAACTCTACCAAAACTAAACACTACCTTACGGATACAATTCTGCCCTTGTAGAGAGGGATCAGGGAAGGAATAAACTACATGCTGCAAAAGTTAGTCAGATGGTATAATAACCTACTGCGGTATGGACAGGAATTACAGTAATAGACACAGTATAATAACCAATATAAAACAGAATTGAAATGTGTTTCCCAGAATGTGAGGGCAACGCATTTCTGAGGGCTGTTGATTAATGAGAGTTTGTGCAAATCTCTTTATTATTATTTCTTTCCTCATTGTCAGCACGGATAGGGATTATGTGATTATTTCTGTTTGTACACTTGTGTAAACATTGGAACACACCAGTACATATCCTGACAGACATCTTCATATCCTGGGGACATATCCTGACAGATATCTTTATATCCTGTGGACGTATCCCCTGCCTATCTGTTGAGCTTTACCCAAAACTTTTTACAGAGCTAATCCGTAAGCAAACATGCAGGTCAATGTTCCTTGCTCTGCATTTCCTCTGAGATCAGGATTCAGCACAGGATGGCTGGAAAGGACTGAACTCTTTTCTAATCTTGAAAGTTGCTTTGGGAGTTTTGTGCTACTCAGCACTGTCATTATTCATAACTGGATTCACGTTCAGCACAACAGAAATGTTTACAGAATTTCATAGCATCTTAGGACTGGTAGTAACACGACCCAACAGCACATGAAGAAAGTGATAGAAGTCCATTTGGAATGTACTTACCTGACCATTGTCCTCAGGAACCAGGGTCTATTGACAATTGAAGGTACAGCCTCATCCATGAGAGGGTGTGTTTTGATAAAGTTTAGAGTATCATCTGGGAACTCATTTGAGCTTACATACTTTTCTAATGATGCAGACCCAGCACAGCAACCTGGCCTACATAAAACAAGGGGAAAAGTTCTGATTTACTGTCTTAGTACAAATCTGCTAAGTGCACTGATTTTCTAAGCATCTGGAAATAGGTGAGACTGTGCCAAAGACCACAAGGAAGCAAACCATTACTAAGAATGAAACTTCATTCGACTTCCCTTTGCCTGCTTAGTGCTTTTGGGAAGTTCAGATCTCTGTTTGAAAAAGAACTGTTCACAGTATTTCTGTCCAGATGGAGCCTAATAAATATATAGATTTATTTTGCAAGACACTGCTCACTGCCAACACACTCAGGTGTTAACTTGCCCACAGCCACATTGTTTTTCCTATAATAAGTGCACTTTGTTTGATTTACAAGGGAGAAGTTCCTTTTTTAAAAACAACTGTGAAATAAAACTGTTCAAACTGCTGTCTACTGAGTGGCAAGGGTGTGACCAAGTTAGAGGCAGCGTAAACACTATACTTACTGTGATTTGTTTGTTTCTCACAAGTATGGGAACCCCAATACTGTAGGCATGAGCAAATCTTATAGAGTTCTTTTAATGGGATGTACTTTTATTGTAGTCAGATAACTTAATTGCTCATTTTATTCCTAAAAACTACCCCTAGCTTTTAAAGCAATTGCATACCCCAGCTAAGACAGGAAGGTCATAGAGTACTAGCAACAGTTGTGTTCGTTATTTTGTACAAAAATTGGTCAGCCTCTCCTTCTTTCTACCATTATAGTTTTTCAGCCTTTGAGTTGTAGTGAGATTGGACAATGACAGCCTGCAGGTCCGCTCATGCAGTAATGAACTTGAATAGGGACGTATCTAGGCTAGGTCCACTGAAGTAAATGTTGTTAATTCAGTTTACACAAAATAAGATGTTGGACCTAGATAACATTTATTCTTCAGATAGAGGCAAATTTTCAAATGTGATTACTAAAGCTAGGAACCTACATTCATAGTTAGGCATCCCAAAAAAGTGACCTCCCTTTCTGATATGCCTAAGTGCCACCAGTTCACACAAACTTCAGCGTGAGTTGCAAGTAACTATCACTTTTAAAAATGAGCACTATAGACCGAATGTTGTATGAAGTCTTCCTGCCAATTTATCCACTAGTTTAGGTCATGTTAGCTGTTATTGCCTCAGATATGTTTCCTAAATGTAAACTCCCAGCCTATATGTTAGCCATGTTCTACTTTATCTAAGGTACAGGTGGTCCCCTGTAAAATTCAATTCCAGCAATCTTCTTTACATAAATGGTTGCTTAAATGACTTCAGAGTTCTTGTGCTGCCTTCTACCACTAAAACAACTTACCATGCTAAGTGCTAACTTACCATGCTATGTTCTACTAGTAAAAATAGTTATTAACATGACTGCTAACTACACTGATGGAAGTAGGGGAGGGGAAATATAGGTACTGAGATTCTATTGTGATGAGCATCCAGAAGGAGAACAGGTGTAATGTTTACAGATGTCTGAAGTTACTTTGAAGTTCTTGTAAAGTAAAGTTGTAGACTGATAACCTCAGATGTAAGACCTGGAAATGCTAAGTTCAGTGACTCTGTCTGAAACCTAATAAACCAAATTCAGTTTTGGTCTGATTAAATATAACTCCTAGGGAAGCCTTTGGACCAAATGAAACAGTCATTTAATAACATCAACAGTGATGTAAGTTATGAATTTGAGGTCAAGTTCTTTTTAATTTGGTGTAACTATAGTGACACCAATAGGGTTACTTTACTTTTATAGCAGTGTATTTCAGAGCAGAACTAGAGCTGAATGTAAATGACTCAAAAAAGGGTGCCAGTGACAAAATTTCATAACATACACTGAATGAATACTTGTTGATTGCACAAAGTGAGTGCAGTGACCACGCTGAACTGGAGTTCACTGCAATTACCAGGAATATGAGATAAATCAGTTACCCATTTCTATATTACTCCCTCAATTAAGCTGATTTTCTTTCTCTACTTATTTCTTCCTTCTTGGCACATTGGTTATATTTGTTATGCTACCCCAGCAAGGCAACCAGCCACAAGCTCTACTGCCAGATACATTGGCTTCCAGATTTAACTTAAAATGAATGTCTATCTTACACCACCCCTGATTTTGACATGATGGATCAGATCCTAACTAATCCTGGCCTTATTCCAATAGCATTTTAATGGCATGCTCCTGTTTTGCACCAGAATCTCTTAGATAAGAGCCATATTCATTCTCTTTTACTGTTAAAACATATATTTTCTAATACATCTTTATTCACATCACTATTCAAGCTCTCAAAGGCTCTTTGTTGTGGGCACAACATAGCCTATAAAAACATACCTGGGTTTGGGCACTCGTTCATCAGGAACTGGTGTCCAAGTAGAATCTGGAGACTTCTGTTCTTTGAATCTCCCCGTAAATACAGTGGCAATGTCAAGCATGTCATAGGCACAGACAGCAGAGCCAGGGATGCTGTAAAGTGACATTTCCCAGAAATTGTTACTCATTCACCAGTTATGCATAAAATTTTGACTGAAAACCAAGCTGTACAGAAGTCTTCCTGTCACAGGCTACTCAAACCTGACCTTTCTAACCTCTGGGTATTGACAGTAAAAGGCCGCCCCGTGCAAACAATTTAAATGTACCAATTGGCAGTCAATTCCTGTCAGTACCATTTGTTTCCAAAAGCCTCTGAAGAAAGAACTAATTGCAAAAAATGTAATGAGAGGAAAGACTCTGGGAAACTCTGCCTGCCTTTAGTGATGCAAGAAGAGTCATATTCTGTCCAATTATTTGGAAATTCAAGTTCTTGTAAGTTACAGCGCAGTCTCAGTATTACTCCCCACAATTCTTGCTGGGTCTCTAAAATATAGTCTAGAGATAATTCAGAAGTTGGAGCTGATCCATCTGTATGCTGAAGCAGCTTATTAAGTCTGAAAGCTGAATATTATTATACTATCCTTTCAATGTTCTGATTTCCATCAGTTTTTCCTTTACAGTTCTAACCAAGTTCCCCTACACAGGAACTTGTTTAACTCAATCAGTTGCAATGAGTTTGTAGAAACAATTTTTTCTTTGAGCCACTAAAAAAATTAAAGGTGAACTTTACATGTAACCAGATAGCAGCAATATCTAAAAATAATTACATCCTTACATAAACACTTTTGGAAAGGCTTCGAGGTTTCCCTTGGTCAATGGCTTCAAGGCATGAATTATTCATTTAACTACCTTTATTGTTTACACATGAACTACTGTGTTCATGTCTGACTTTAGCTACTTGATTTTGATAAGATAAACAGTGAGCACCAGCTGGCCAAGACTTTTAATCATGCTTTTAGCTAGTGGACTATTATGCATCAACCCCCTTTCCCCAGCCCTCCCCTCCCCTCCCCACCCCCCACAGACATTGGTCCTGGTCTTTGAAATGAGGAAACAATAGTAGGAGAAGGAATGTGATGGGTCTTAGAAGGAGCATATATTGATATGAACATAATTTTGTAATTATTAATGAATGTTTGTGATTTTAATTTTAAGATGCAACATCCAGATGAAGCAAGAAATGTGGAATAACTTTAGCCCAGTTTAAAACAAAGGCAGATGTTTGGATCTCCAAAGGCTGGTTTGTCTCAAGAAAGGAGACCCATTTTGAAAGGCACAGTGTGTCCAATGAGTTTTAAAGAGGGAGGACCAAATTTATTCCGGTACAAATTTGCCAGGGTTAAATTTAGCCCTTGGAGCCAAGAGAGACCTTGAGCACATAGGGCACAAGTTTGGAAGATACTAAGGAACTCCTGCTGGTGCTGGGCACCTTCAGCTTTCACTGAAATCCATCTGCAGTGGGAAGAGCCCAGCTCTTTCCAGTTCAAGCACCTAAGGAGGGCCAAGTGCAACTTAAAAGCTGGAAGCTTCACATACACAGGAAAAGTACTGGAGAGCTGGATGCCCCAGTTCCCTATGCACTGAGGAAAAGGTATGTGTGGCACACCCATACCCCTCTCCAAAGGTGTGGCTGCTCAGGATCCCAGTATGTGGATTCATATAGAGGAAACTGACCCAGTCAAAAAACTTCAGTCCACATCCTATAAATGCCATAACCCAGCACCTATTACCCATGACTCACTTCTGGGGTGGGAATGGGGGTTCAATTCCAACAAGCTAAATAAGAACTTTTGTTTTCATAAACAAAGCCATGTTTCTAAGTCTTTTGTCAGTGCATTAATTTCATCCACTGCCTGCACAGATCTGTTACTGAGGTGTTCTCAGGACAATGCATCTTCCTCCTTCCTCCCAGTCCCCAGTCTCTTCAGAAAGGCCAGGAGGAACAATACTTTTGCTTTTTGTATGAAGGGAACATTTGTAGCTACATTAATAAAGGTTACTAATGATGAAATACAAAAAACCAATTCTGATGACATATTTCTTCCTTTCTGGTAATCTCCTGTAGGTTTTGTTTATTTTTCTTGTATTAGGGAGATGTGTGTTAATCTATTTCTGCTGTTTAGTTTTCAACTGAAGTCATATACTCCATTTGTGGCACAAACATACCATAGCAGCTACTCTAATTTTGCTGTCAAAAGCAGTAATTATATACCATAGCCCCGTGCTTACTCTTGTTGGAAACCAGTGAGAGTTTTTTCCAATGTCCTCACTGAAGTTCACCCTTTGACTTTAAGGGGCAAATGTATGGCAAGAACAGATGAATTTCAGCAATGAAGTTCACATTTTAGTTCAAGTGTTCCTTGACATAAGAATAGAGAAGAAGCAGACCCTCTGTGGCCCAGCAACAACTTTTATTTAATTAGAACATTTTAAAAAAACTTTTCCTGGAAACCTCAGTAATTAGATGCAGGTACATGTTTTAATAACTTACTGAGAAGCATGTAATAATATATGCTAGTAACAAATTCTTAACAGATGAGGTGATATTGTAGATCGCTCTATAAGGCTTTCTATAAAATGCAGGTGTTAGAACAATGGGTTCCATTATTAATATTAATGGCTTGCATTGCAACAGTGCCCCCAAAAAGATGAGGGCTCTTTTGTATTAGATTCCTTTTACCCAGAATGCCCTGGCTTTCCTCCCAAACCACAGAACTGTCTTACACAAATGTCATGGAGTGGAGTTTCATGGACTTAGAAGGGACAGAAAGGAGAGTATAGCAGATCTGAAGTTTTTAACAAATACTCCTCTATAAAATAGTGGGTGTGGTCAGCAAAAATTAATACAGCATGATGAGGCTCTATTAACTTCCATTGCTTTCCCTGGCGATCTGTGGAGTTCCTGGGGGCTTTCTGGAGGCAAGCAGCTATCCAGGTGGAGCCCTCGAGAGCATGGCTCTTCCAGAAAAAAATGCAAAGGCCAGTAAGAATAGATGGAGTCTGTTGGAGGGTGGAGGTGAGAGATTTCAGTATAGCTCTTGGAAGATCCTTGAGTAAAAGGACTAGCACTTACTGCTTCTTCTATGGGCAACCAGCGGGGAAGAACATACTCCTCTAATGGGAAAACTATAAGCTGAAACTGTAAAGCCTCTTGTTCCTTACACAAAATTGCTCTAACATAAAGAGAGAATGAATTCAAAGTATGTGCCCACATGGTACCTTGTTTAAAATTATAGCCATATAATGTAATAAATAATACCAGTGTATATTAAAGAGGATGACTGAGTACCCATTTATGCACAAGGAAACAATATTTAAATTCTGGTAACTGCTTCTTGTAGTTTACAGTACAAATAGACATTAGAATGAAAAAGTGTGACATGAACACAAAAAGAAAGGCTACTCCTCTGGATACCTGTTATACGGAGTGGAGAAGGTTGCTAAAACAACATCCCGGCCATTGAAATGGATAACAGCTGTAACTGCCTGCAGTATATTAAAGTAGAAGTGTGAATCGCCAGGAACTGAGCAGTTCAGGCGGGCCTTGAGAAAGGAAGTCCACTGTTTTTCCAGCACTCTCTGAGATCCTCCCATATCATTCTTGCAAACTTGAGCCACTCTTGGGAAAACTACCTGCAGTGAATGGGGAAAAAGCAGAGATAATGGAGTATTTGTTTGATCAGAAAGATTTTATTGGAGTTCTGCCGTTAAAAAAAATGGAAATGATGTAGTGAGATGCTTAATTTAATCCCGTGTTTCTATAATCTGTTACAAATAACAAACAGAGGAAAATTCAGCTTGGGAACAGCGTGCTATAAAAGATAAGGCTGTGGCATTTAATACACAGTCATAAATCCTTCAGGAGATCTACACTCAGCCCATATAAACTCATTTCCATACAGACTGCTTAGCTTTGTATTTCCCCAAACAAAAGGACATTTTATATTCACAATCCCTTCAACCCACGCTGCCTGCTCAGAGTATTGTATCTTCAGCACTTAAAACTATGCAGACCTCGCCGGGTTTTTATTCATGCCCTCCACCTTTGTGACCTGGGTCAGCTTTTTTGTCTGCTTAGTCAGAAAGCTATTGTGGAAATATAAAAAAATGTAGTAAATGTTTGACTGTTCTTTACAATGTGGCAAAGAATAAAATTCTTGTTCCTGCGTACTCCGCGCCACTGATTCAGATCTCCTAAAGACAGCTGCCTCTTGCTTTGAAGGCAGGTTTTTTAGCTATTACCTGATAGATGGAATTAAATATATTTGCCATTCCCTTTGCAGGGTTAAATTAAAGAAAGAGGAGATTCCAATGCATATTGTGACAATTGCAAACTATCATGTGCTTCAAGACAGTGCAATGAAATGTTTCACTCCAACCAACCTTTGGATTTGAACAGCAGGAATCTTCTCAAAATGACGACCTTGTCATCATGATTTATGGCTTTCATTTCAAGGTCATTCCTACCAGAACTGGTCCAAGAACAGTTTTTCTGAATGTAACAGAGGCACTGAGGGCAATGTTTTCCTCTTACCTTACCCATACTGTTGTATTCCACTGCTATTTCACGAAAGAAGAAGTAGATATAGTCACCATAATCCACTGCCTGGACAAAGTAGGGTTCTGTAAGCAGACAAGACATTTTGAATAGCTGTGGTGCCCCCATACAAATGAAACACATCAAGAAGCAGATAGGAACAAAAATACATGTAAAACTGCATATCCCAATAGAAAGACTTTGCTTTGGGGCTCAGTTTTCCTCACTTTTAATAAAAGAACAAGGAACGTTGGGTGCATGGAACGGCTTTGGGCAAATCTCTAGAGAATCTATGAAAGGTCATGATGTGCCTGCTTACCTACTACTGTAAGGACTCCTTTGCCGCGGAATATGAAAAGGTGAAGAGAGTGACCCTCACCAATATAGCATGGTCCAAACTCCCCTGTGGGAGAAGGGAACAGCAAATCTCATACACTGTCATTCCTTGTACTTACCTGCAACAGGAGCAGGGGAGCTACATGGATACATGATATCAATGTTCACACAGGGGCTAAAGATCTTTTCCTTCAATATCTTTCTTTTTCTACACTTTTTAAATTTATGCAATGTACTTTGGGCTTTGCTTATTGTCTCAGGATCAGCCTTAAGTGTTAACCATTCATAATGACTTTGTAAAATTAAACGCTAACATTTGTCAAAATAAGGGTATTTACAACACACAGATTACCTCATTCAACAACAGCTATACAATACCTAAGAACTGTTACATGAAGGATTTGTGTAATATTCTCATAATTTTGTTTTTATTGATGAATCTTAACGTTGCAGAACAAATTGTGTATAACTCATAGAGCCTTGTTACCAAACACAATCCTAGGAAAGGAGTAGGTTCAGGAACAGCACCAGAACTGCCCCTCTCTCAGCCTGGAAAATCCTATGCTTTTCATGTAACAGGTATAAAATGAAAGATTTGGGTTAGGAAAGATGGATGTAATGTATTCTACTGTGGTGATACTTGTAGTTTTCTTTTAACATCCAGTAACTCAAGGGGAAAAAAGGGAGGTAAATAAATCAGTGTAGGTAAAAGATGTAATTTAGTTTCTTCTTTCTGACAGAAAGCATCGTTGAAACGAAACTACAGAGAGGTCTGTCAGGAATCCAAGTCTCTCATCAGAGATGCAGCTCTTTTTCTTTGTTTTGTTTACTTACCTTTCAACCATTTTGAGTCATGTTTGACTGTCCGCAGGGTTGGGCTGTCTCCAAGGCTCCGGTAAATGACTGCATCTATTGCAAGGAAGTCGGTCACTGTGGCAGAATATAGCTTCCCCTCTGGGGGAGGAGGATAGAAAAAGAAAAGAGGAGGAGGAGGAGGTTAGAAATAATATAATTACTTTCTCTCATCAATCAAATGAGATGGGACAAATGAAATCATCTGCAGCTCACTGGGAACACCGAAATGAAAATTCTGGGTAGGAAAATAGCTGAATGAAAAGTTTCTCATTTTTAAAATGACAGACCAATATCAAGAGGATGCTTTGGAGAAGGAGTAATCCTAGGAAATGTCCCTTCCTTTACTAAATTAGATAAATTGTGACTGAAATATCCAGCCTGGCTCCATGGGGAATATCTCTATCATAACACCGAAATGTAATCTAATATGACCAGAACAATGCCTGATAAAAATTAGGTTTTTAATCTATAAATCCCATCCAAAAACAGATATGAGACTAAAAATGTTAATTTTCAGTAAGTTTGTCTAACCATAAAGTACTAGAGAGCAGCTGACTAATTGATGCTTATTAGTATTTCTTGCTTTCTGGGCTTTAATGTGTGTCAATCTCCCCTCCTTTAAGATCATCAGTAAAAGGCAGATCAACATCATAATGTCACTGCTAACCAAATTGCTCACCAGATGCTTTTCAATGGAAAACCCCCCAAAACCAAACACAACCCCCCCCCAAAAAAAGAACACCAAAAAACCCCAAACAAACCCTCAAACTGGAAAGGTACAAGTGCCCCAAAGACCTGGGTTTTACAAACCCATTCTCAATGACGGAGTTGGTATTAAATGCACTGAAGGCTGGGATAGCAGCCGGCCTGGATGACATACTTAAAGAACAAATCAAGCAATTCAGACCCCAGAGTCAAGAATGGCTCCTCTGCCTATACAACTCATCCACAGCCATTCGAAAAATTCTAAAGATATGGCAATATGCTCAGGTAGTAGCATTTCTAAAGCCATGGAAAGATCCATCTGACCCAAAGAGCTTCAGACCTATCTCTCTGCTATGTCACACATTGAAATTGTACAAACAAGTGATACTGAACTGGCTTGCCCCATACATGGATAAAACACTTAATCCCTGAACAGGGTGGCTTTTGCCCTGGAAAAACAACAGTGAGCCAGCTGCTCAATCAAACTCAACAAATTGAGGATGGTTTTGAAAGAGGAGAAATAATTGGAGCTGTGTTCTTCGACCTAACAGCTGCTGACGATACACCAGCAACTCCTCCTCAAAACCCTGGAAATGACAAAAGATCTACATCTTACAGAGCTGATATGAACCCTGCATGAAAACAGACTTTTTTTGGTCTAACCAGATTTGAACTAAAGCAGATGGAAGTGACAGATTAATGGCCTCCCCCAAGGAAGCATACTTGCACTGCTGTTATATAACATCTATATGAATAATCAGCCAACTGATATGGAAACAAAATGTTACATCTATGCAGATGACCTATGCATAACAGCCCAAAACACTGGCTTTGACCATGTCAAAAAAACCCTAACCAAGGCACCATTTGGCCTAACCGCATACTACACCAATTATGTACCAACCCAGTGATAAAATAAATATGTGCCTTCTACCTGAAAAACCATGAGGCCAACTGCCAGCTCAACTTTACATGGTCTGGGACCCCACTATCCCACTGCCCAAATCCAGTTTACCTTGGAATCACTCTCGGTTGAGCCCTCTCCTACAAAGAACACACCATGATGACAAAAGCAACCGTGAGTGCTTGTAACAGCATATTATATAAGCTGACCAACTCAAAATGGGGAGCTAGCCCTTCAACCATCTGAACGATTGTCCTTGCTCTCAGCTTCTCCCCAGTTGAATATGCATGTCCTATATAGGAGAGATCCATACACACTAAGTGCCTTGACCCCATTCTGAATGATTCTGAATGTCAATGTATTGCAAAATGTCTGAAGCCTACCAGCCTAAACAGTGTGTACCTGCTGGCTGGCATCGCTCTGCCTGACATCTTAACGGCAGTGGCTGGCAGGATAGAATGATTAAGAGAAACTGAAGATGCGAGACACCCTCTGTATATCCAATATGCAGTGACCTTCCTCACCAGCACCCAACCTCTCAGTGCCACACCCAAGGAGACATGACGATAGATGTGGTACAAGAGGCTGAAGAAAATACCTGATAGCGAAAAAATGTACATTCCAGCAGCTGCGTTCTTACCACCAGGGGCTGCCAAACAATGGCAAAGGTGGCAACATCTCAACTACCTACGAACCGTAGTCAGAGGTTCCAAGGAACTAATGAAGAAGTGGGGTTATAGCATTGGTTTAACCACCTGTGACTGTGGCACAGAGCCTCAGACTATGCAATACCTGCTACAATGCTCACTGCTCAAAGGCACATATACAATGAAAGATCTTGTAAGTATAATAAACAAGTACAACAGTATGTAACAAAATAGTCAAATGTGGTGTAGTAACATGAAAAGAAGAGCAGTAGAAAAAAAAATCTCACCGTATGGGATACTACAAGAAAACCTATTCCTGAATGGAGACTGTGGTTTATATCTATTTTTTATACTCAAAAAGCTTTTGGATGTCTTCTATATGATTAGACTTTTTTACCCCTCAAAGATCATTGCAGGAGGGCTGTGAAATGGCACAGCAAGGACAAGAGAATGAAGCAAAACATCACAATTTAAAGGGGCTAGCACTGACAACAGTTTAATATGATAGCTACTTCAAAATTCAGTTTTGGGCCATTGTGCCGCAGGGATATTACATCTTGTAAGCTACGTCTTGCAGCCACGATATTTCATGGTAACACAAACAATATAACATAATATAAACCCAGTAACTCATATCCCAATGGTGTCAAAGAGAAGTGGGAATGGGCTGCATCTATCTCAGTGGGAAATATGATAGGTATTAGATTGAAACTTATCAGTGCTGGGATGATGATTAAGGGAAGTCTTCTTCAGAGGTTTCTTTTAGCCTTAACTCACCCTATTTCCAACTAACCAGAAAAGGCAGCATTTTACTTCCCTACAGTGCTTGAAAAAACAGATCTACAGTCTTATTTTTGCACTATGCAATCCCAGTCAGAATATTGCTGTTTAAAACTAGTCTTGCTTTCTTAGTGGGGGAAAGATCAATAAAAACATACAAATAAAATCAACTTAAAAATAGAAAGCTATATTTTTTTAGCTATAGATCTCTGACCTTATTTCAATATAATCACATATTCATTTCCTCCAGCTAAGTCCTGTTTGGCCAGTTACACTTCACACACATCAGCTGTAATAGCTATATAGTAGGAAGGGTCACACATGCAAATGAAAAGAGAAGGAGGTCAACTAGAGTAACTACCCTGGCTGCTATGAATGGTGCTCCTGGGGATTCATTCTTCATAACTTTTCAACACAATTCTTGGTAAATTTACTTGATCCATTTTATAACAATTTGTTTGACACATTTTACCTCTAATTCTGAATTATGTACAGATAAGTCAGCATCCCATTAATTTTTTTATTTCAGCCGATTCATAGAGTTCATTGTCCCGTCAAACTTTGAATGTATGCTGGCAACACAAGAGTTAAGTTTGATCATGCGCAGACAAGCAGGCAAGGCCTATGGAAAATTCCACAGCATGCCCAGCACATGCCCCCTGAGTGACCTGAAAGCTTGTCAATGGGACCTGACCTACTTTTCCCTCATGCGCATGCTCAGTTTCACACAGAACGTGAAGTAATCTGACCAGACACATGCTCAGTCTACAGATTGCATGATGTAATCGGACTAGAAATTTCTTTAGAGAAGACAACCTGATTGGCTACCCGGTTGTCATAAAAGACTTGGGGGCCCCTCCCAAAGGGGTTTTTTTTTGGTTGTAGCGAAAGGGAGAGTGAGAGAAAGTTTCTTTGGTTCTGACAGCGGTGCTGACAGGGAAGATCTGTCCTGAGAGCAGAGGCTAGCCTGACAGGGACTGCTCCTCAGGAGGGCTTTAAGCCCACTGGTCTCCTGTCCGAACCCTGAGAGTGGAGGCTGCTATTCGCAGGGACTGCTCCTCAGGGGGGAGACCACGCTCGACCTGTTCAACAGATACTGCCTTAGCAGAGACTGGCTCACAGGGAGAGATCGACCCGATCCTGAGAGCAGAGGCTGCGGCTGCAGGGACTGCTCCTCAGGAGGGCTTTGGGCCCACTGGTCTCCTCACAGCTATGATTTTGCGATTTATTCAATTTGTCTTGATCTGATTATTCCGTATTGATCTCTGGCTAACGAACTAATTTCCGGCTTCGACCTCGACCACGATCCCGCATCTTGACCACTGGCAACGACATCGTAACTCCGACCTCCACATCGAGTTCGGCATCTCAACGACCACCCGTTTCATCCACTTTGGACTTGTGTCACACCGTTCTTCATGTTACAGTTCGTTGTTTGTCATCCCAATCAATAAGCTGTTGACCAGTCCTGGGACTATCGAGTGGGTAGCCGCACCTATCCTTCAGGGTAGAAAGCAAGGGCTCACTTGGGAACCCCGTGGACCAACAGACCCCTCTCGTTGTTTATACTGTAACTGAAGAAAGCTTGCCTGCCTACGCTACCACATCATCTGTAGCGTAAGTAAAATAAAATCTATTCTGTTTTGAAACCGCACGTGTCCCGAACCGCTCTGACTCCTCGCCGCTACTCCCGCCTGATCCGATCCGTACCCCGGCCCACCGTGACCTTGGGGCCCGTCCCCGACATTCATCAGTGAATAACTGTTGATCTTCAGATTATTTGAAAGATAATCACTGAGACTGTTTGGGATTTGGACGGTCAACAATAAGTTGGTTGGTTATATAAGTTGGAAACTATGTTTCTCTTCTCTCATTAGATGATTTACGTAACTAACGAATACAACACAAGTTGTGACTATTCAGTTTTGCAAAATAAATTGCCATCTGAATTTTTCACTGCTGACTGTTCAAAAAATTCACCCTTCAACAATTGTTTACTACTTCCTTTCTTCCAGTTCCAACTTGGACCCTCTCCACTCTAATTCCTGCCATCTCCGTTACACTGAAATTACTCTTACCAAAGTATCTAATGACCTTTTTCTGCCCAAATTTCCACTGTATCCTCACTCTTCTTGACCTCCTGATTGACATCTTGTTCTGTCAGCTACCACAGTTCTTTCCTCCTTTGAATCTCCTTCTAATTCTTAAAATTGTATCTTTAGCACAGTGTTTAGTGAATTCCTTTTCCTCCCCTCTCCTATTGCTAATAGGGGTCCAACAGAACACAACTGTCAGCTCCTTCCTTTTCTTTACATTGTTTTTGTCATGTTGGGTGTTTTCATGGGCTGTTCCTAAGCTATTGTATGTGAGATAGCCAGGAGGACTGGTCAGTCCTAAAATACAGAACCTTATTTTTCAAATATCTAATTTGTGAAACCTGCACTATATCTTACTCTTTGGAATATTCTTAAAATGAAAGCGTACTATAAGAATGTGCGAGACATTTCTATGGTACATTTCTAGGGTGTGGGAACACTATTTAATTCACAGAAGCTGCTACCTGAAATACAGAGCACAGGGTTTCTTTAAAAAGTCTTCCTTAAGTCTATTGATTCAAGAACAAATTGATAAAGAGAAAGGGGATTCTACAGCACTCAAAATCCTTCTCTTACTAAGAGATTGCTTATTATTATTTTGAAATTAAATTACACCATTATAGGACCTCTTCCTTATCTAACAGCATGTCAGTTCAGACACTGTAGGTGGCATTGTGACCTTTTGTGTGCAGCACTGATATCTGGTTAAGGGAGGCTGAACTTTTTATGAACATTTTAGCTTCCATATGGATTTCTAAAAAGTTTTTTTCAAGAAGCAGCTGGTCACTGTTTTCTAGCAAAACACTTGTTCAAAAGAGGCAGTGATGTCATCATAGAGGGGTCCGTACTTCCACTACATGCCGAAACTGACATGGGGTGAGTGAGGGGTCACTAACACAATTTCAATAATGAAACAATTTAACCAGGAATCTATAAAGGAAAGACACCAAAATACCATTTCATAATCAATGGTCCAAATTAACCCCATTTATAAGCATTTACTTTTTTTAACTATGAAAAAATTAGATCTAATTGCATTCTGTTGCATGCTGCATAAATTATTATTGGATTAACACATTTTTTCCTTCTTGTACCACAACTGATACTGAAACAGTAAGATGTTTCTTTTTAAAAAACCCATCACTTCACCTTCCTTTTTGGATTCAGAGAAGGGCACAATCCCAGTAAAAAACACAACAACCCAGCTCTGAATTGCCCTTCATTATGAAGATCAATTTCATTTTAAAGAAACATGAGACCATATATGGCTCCGACTAAAGTCAATATGAGTTTTGTCCTTGGTTTTCACAGAGGTAACAGGGTAGTACTTCTACCTGACACTGATCTAGCCTAATATTATTTTGCTTTTATTAACGTGAATCCAGTAAAACTGAAATATTGAGTCAGGAAACTGAGGGTTTAGGCAATGTTGTTTACGGTACAGAAGTTAACCCCACAGCATGCAGAGCTTCCTGCACTAATGCTTTCCTTATGTCCCTATTTTGAGTCATTATTCACTCACTTTGCCACATTTTAGAATCAGCTTTTCAGATGAGAGGTACTTTACTATGGCAAGCATACCTCAGAAAAAGGAAAGAAATGGGTTATTCTTACTCCTCCTTATTTACCTGCAAACAGTGCAACATTGGCATGTTTTGCATCATAGGGACACCTTGCCATCCCACTAAACTCATCGCCCAGGAACTCCAGTGTATCCATCTGAAAAAAATCCAAAATACCCCAATTTAAATCTCTCCAAGAGAAAGAAAGAGGAACTTGTCACCCACATTATGACTTATGATGCTTTTCATTTCAGGGTGGAGAGGTGCTTTTGGCTGTGACAAAGCAAAATGTTATATAATTTATGGAGGAAGGAGTGCCCATTAAGATAGACACCCTTCTAACACATTCCTTCACTGATTTGTTTATCTGTTCATGAACTTCCTATTGAACTATTAATGCCTGTGAGGTCTGTGGTTCTGACAAACATTCCTAAGTTATACAGGCTATACTAGCCAAAAGAAGATCAGGATGATTTTGGTTTGTACAACTCCCCCACCTAATGTTGGGGTTACTATCTCTGTATTCTGCCGATCTAAGGTTGGAGTTGTCATTACTGCACAGTTTTTTGTTCTGCTTTCCATATTTGGAAATATTTGCTTTCCATGCGTTCCTGTATCCATTAAGCATGCATCATAGACAAAATCCTCTTACTATCAAGCAAGAATTAATCTGTGCAGTAGTTGTAAAATGTCAGACTTAAATGTAAACCCCTGGGAAATTAATTCAGCATAAGGTACTGGTAATTATACAAATAACCAGCTAAACCTTGTACAGAAGTCCAGGATGCTTCAGTAAATGACAGGGAAAGGACCAGTGTGTATATGTTTAAAGATTTATTATAGCAGAGCTAGTAAGATCAATGATTTATTTTGGGGTAAAATTCCTCTCACCTATTCAACTTACTTGAACAATACATACTGTATAAATCAGAGTGCAAAATCATAGTGCATGAGAAATAATCTATCTAGCACCATCAAGCTACTCCAATCAACTTTTGGCTCATACGTCATGAGACCTAAGTCATTCAATGGACGATTTGTCATCATTTGTTTCCTGTCATGTATCCTTTCTGTCAAGATCTTCTGAAGGGAATCAGTTGTGTTTACTCTTGAATGGAAAAGCATTTAAAGTGACAGTAAAAGGAAATGAGCTGTGCTCCAAAGTTCTTTTCCTCCATGTAAAGCAAAGCATTTCACGTTCATCTGCACTTTCACTTTGCAGCACAGAGGGATGGCCCTTATCTTCTGTTTGGCATGTCTCAAGTGCCCTGGTGCCATCCACAATACTAGACATATATTCAGAAAAAGTCAGTGCAGGTGTCTGAGTGACCTTCTGTAGGCCCCCAGAGATATTACCCATGCAGGCTCTGACAGCATGGCAACAGGTGAAGAAATCAGCATAGGCCATATATCATGGGGAATGAAACATCTGCAGAAAGGATAAAGAGGACCATTTATATCCCTCATGTTAGGATGCCAAGAAAAAATTGTATTTGTACTAAAAGACAGCTTTCCAGCAAGGGGACTACTTGGGATTTGTTAGCAGCATTAATTGTATTGAGGGCTAAGCAATGGCAACCAGTGCTAGAATAATTAAACAAAGAACTGGAAACAGGAAACCTAGCTGCATTCTGGGGAGATATGGTGTGATGTGTCTGAGAGGCTGGGAAGAAAAAAAGAGAAGAGAGAGTTCCCAAACTAGTGCAAACTTTGTCACCTTTATACGAAGAATCTGCATTACATAGTTAAGAGGAAAGGAACTTGTCCCTGAAACAAAAACTTCCTATACAGGAAGGAAAAATAAGATAGGTCTTTCTAGATTTGAGCCATCACAGATGATAAACCAGTGTCGATGATTTTATTATTTAGCATATGCAGTTTCAGCATATTGTTTCAGCCACCTTAAGGTGATTTCATCACTGCCTTAAGATGTGGAGGATAAACCAGTGTGGCGGAGGAAGGATGGTGAGAGGTAGGGTCTTTGTGGCTATGGACATAGTTGTCTTCTTGGTTGCTGATGTTTTCAGTTTATCTTTACACTTCTAGGCCCAATCCTGCACTTTTGAGTCAATGGAAATTTTACCACTAACTCGAGTATAAGGAGGGTCAGGTTTTTTGGGGGTTTTTTTTGTTTTTTTTTTTTATCAATACCAACTGAATCTTCCTTCCCTCTGAATAATGTTTAGAAATAGCCCTTGGGACAGGGGCACTCTTGGTTGTCTTATTTCCCTGCCTGTGGGCAACTTTCCTTACTTTCTTCTCCCCCTCTACATTTCCCTGTGGTTATCTGCTATCAATCACTTCCAGAAGAGTCCCATGGAATCCTGCACAGGTTCCCAAGTATTTAGATACCCACAAACTGATGAAGTAAAAACATATCATTTTTGAAAAGCTAAGCTCCACACTGGCTTCAAGACTGGACACATGACAAGAGATGGATTCAAAATGGTCTGTTCCAACAGGATACTTAGATCTTAAGGACTCTGCTTTAAAATGTGCCCATAGTAGGTAAACTCTGTACTTAAGAACATCTGGAAAACTAACGTGTGTGTGTAACGTAACCTGTATGTTATTGCAACTATGAAGGACAAAGTCAAGTGGCAACATACTTGAATTTGGAAATACTGCAAAGAAGTGTCTACATCAATCCAGACAAATCTCAGAAACTTGAACAACATTCTGAGTGAAGACTAACTGTGTGATGTTGAATGATGCATCTCATGTTCCTGACTACAGTCACAGTACATACATAACTTGTAAGAACACAGCTGTAAACCCAAGAAGACATGCATACCTTATAGTTCCTACAAGAAGGGTTGAAGGCATTTGTTCCACAGACAAACAAGGTACCCTCGTTTCTTTTTAGGAGAACCTTAATAAAATTATGACACTCATCCTGAAGAAAAATAGTAATAAAAATTATTTTAGTCAGCACATTCTGGATATCTGGCTTTATCTGTTTGCCCTGATTTTCATGCTCATATCTAAAATGAAACTGGCCAGTAGCCATTGTGATATTCTGGGCCTTGTTTCAACAATGTTTTAACTGACAGAAAATGAAATGCAATGAAATAAAATTCTAGTCATTTAAAAAAGGGTTGCTAGGAACCTAGATATTATATTTACATTGTAGTTTGGATTTTGTTCTCTCTCTTATAGATACATTTTGTTTGAAAGTTGTAGCTTTGTTCAAGATTGAGGGCTGACTCACTTCTCACATCTGCTGCTCTAAGACAGCTGCACATCATATTTAGTCAAGGAAGTAAAACGGATGTAGTGAAGAGGGGGGGCAGCTCCAGAAGCTCTGGGCCAGATATTGATCTCACCAATGTTAGTCACAATTTACACTCCAGTACAACTGATGTGAGATAAGGTTCAGTCCCTCTGCATCTATGAACACACACACTTCTTATTAGGGGTTTGTATTTGCTCTTCAGGAAACCCTAAGTAGAGAATGGACAGAAGCAGTTAGCTACCTGAGACAACATTAGGTAATGCCCGCTTATTTACTATTGTGTCCATAATCCTCAGTGCTCCCAAGTATGTCATGGTGTTGCTGTGGCTGCTGTCGTAATGTTTCATCACATTAAAAGCAAACTATTTTTGCAAATTTAAGCTTTCAATAAGTTGATGGAAAAGGCAATTACTAGCAAAGAAGTGAATGGCATGATCCATTCTACATCACAGAGAACAGCCTGAGATAATAGTCAAGAAACTAAACTAAAGTGGCAGCTGCAGGAGAAATGAAAATTGCCTACCTTATGTTTTCCCTTCATTCTGCATGTGTCTACATCAGCTTGTCTAGATTTCCATGTCAATTTCTGCAAGGATCAAGAAAGAAATCAATTAGAGCCCAGAGGTTGTTGCATTTGATTTCAGAAGTAAGAGTTCCCTAGGGGAGACTAGCTGCTGAACATATATTTATTGAAAGCTTTCTGCACCCTTTCTCTGTGATTAATTCACCATAACAATGAAAGACCAGTGATGCAGAACATTCACTTAATTTTATGTTGCTATCTATTCATTAAACTAGAAACCTATCTCATTTTTAAAACCTCCAAACAAGTGAACTTAGCAACAAGCTGATTTTTTAAATGTACGCACATTTTAAAAAGTATTTTGTTTTCTTTTCTCATCATTTCCTATATTTTGATGTTGTTTTGCAAAGTAAATTGCTGTTAATGGACTATAAACTCATTAGTTATCAAATCAAAGTATGTGCATTGGCAAGGTGTGTTTCAGACGACAAAGAAATCCAATTCAGATAATTCTCCTCACTTCAAGTCAGCTAACAGGCTCAGAGAGCCCTCTACCTATCAAAGTACTGAAGATTTTATCTGCTAACACTGTTTCCCTGGAAGACTTGTGTGTATATCCCAGATTGGATTGTTGTTCCTGTTTGAACTGGATTATACACAGACTACTGTTACCAAATTACCAAATCTGTCCTAAACTTTCCAAGTAGCTGAGTGTAGAATAGTCAAATCTAATGACTTGAAGTTTTATAAAACTTGATTGAAAACTGCAGAGCTTAAATTTGTTTGTTTATTCATTCATTCATTTAATTTATATGCTGCTATTTCTAGCAAAGGCTCAGGGCAGCTTACAGTAAGAGAACATATTTCAAAATAGCTTAAAATAGGAGAGCGACAAGACAGGCTAATAGAGAATGTACATGCAATACAAAGAATCTAGTAGGAGGCCATATCTAACAACATACATGTTAACACACAGGACACAGATGCAAGCAAAACTGTTTTTCATTTGGCTATAACTTCCCATGGATATAACGCAGATTTGGTTGAACTGATGTTTAAGTAATGTTTTATTTGCGCATGCTTGTATGGCTAACTATAGATTTGTACATGATAATTACAGGTACATCTGTACTACCTCCACAGTGATCCAGAGACCACCACTCAGAAACAAGCTCCTTCAAGTTCTTCCCATTTGACATTTACCGCTTGCTAAAAAATGTTGTATATTTGTTTTGTGCCATGCACCCAAGGATGCTCTTGAGATCTCAGTCTCAGCTGTGAATCTGAGGGCAACTCTGGGTGCACCTGGCACTGCAGTTATGGTGACCACAGAACATTTTTTCAACAGGGGTGTGGGTATGGTTGGCTTCTTGGTGGTGGTCTTGAGATTGCTGCAGAGGCAATATAGACATATGCAGAGTTTGCCTTTTATGAAGAAAGTTTCAGTACACTTAATTAGTATGGTATAGCAATTATAGAAAGATACAGAATACAAATGAATAGATGTTTGATGAATATTCCACCAGGGACCCCAGTGTATTTCAGGATGGATTACTTATCAACTCAGCTAAATCACTTATCAGAAACTCACAGAGGACATGATTGCTATTCCAGCTTTTCCCAAATATGATTAGTAATGCCATCTTACTTGATTATTATAGTTTGTACAGCAATGCTGGCAAGCTATTTGAAACAGTGTCCTCTTCCTATTTATTGTCTGCCTTTTCTAGTGTCCTTGGTTTCAGGATGATGATAAAAGCTACTTACTTTGCTAAAATAAATTTCTTCTGTATGTGATGTGTCCATATCAACAGTATAAATATGGTCCCTGTAAACAAAGATAAATGAATGCAAAGTCAAATAAGTAGTCAGACAGTTCATTTTCCACTGAAAGAGTTATCTCCCATAAGATAACCCATAGCTCACACAAAAAAGACCAGGGACCGTACAACAGAACATTACTGACTGCATAGTCTGCTTCTTCTGATAATGTACCAGTGTATACAAGCTGTCTTGTTTTACATTAAAGATGAAGGAAAATTCTAAAAAAGAGTTCCATCAAAATTCTTCCCCCCCCCAAACTATTTGTATGCATGAGGTTTAGGAAGGAAAACTAGTTCCAAATCTCTTCAGGCTTGTTGTGCTGATTTTTTATGCATCCTCAAATCATCTACAACCTTGCTTAGACAAGCCTTTGCCAGCTTCTTGGGTATTCAGTGTGCCATATTTACTCATTCAGGGCTAAAGGGAAGTTAATGCTTTTTTTTTTAATTATGCTTCCAATTTCAGCCATGCTGATTTGATTGACAAAATGGAAGGGAAAAGGTTGACAGCAACAAAATTGTTTCCAGAAGTCATTTTTCTCTTCACAGGTTGATGGCCAAATTAAGCTCTAAAATATGCCCTCGGAGAAGTTTACAGTTCTTGCTTGTGTTCACCTTCCTGTTTGGCTGAGAACCTGGCTTTCTCTACAATTAGCTGCCAGTCACTCCTTAGAAATAGGAAATAGACTAAGGCACACAGGTAGAGGGATATTTTTAAACATTCCCCTTCTGCTAGAGCTGAGCACAAGGACATTTTTGTCTGGGGCATAGAATTTAAAACAAATAAATGAATAAAAAGCAGTAGGAGCTGCACCAAACTGGAGAGGAAGGGTGAAAAATACTCAGCAACTCATTTTTCCTTGAAATAACATTGGCTTTTTCAAAAATGCAGGAAGTTGTGCAGCTGGAAAATGATCCACAGCTTGAAAGGAGTCTCCATAGGAGTCTGTTGAAAGTAGGATGCAGACTGTTTCCATTTTGAAAGTCTCTGCTTTCAAGATTAACTTCATTTTAGCAGGTTTGGGGGAAACAATATTAGCCTCTAACTAAAGCAGATGCAAAACACTATGCTGTAAGAAGAAGAATAAGCAACACTTCTCTCACATAGAGAAAAGGAAGCATTGTTAATGGAAACTGGCTTTTTAAAAAATCCACTTTTTTTCCCTGCACTGGAGGCAGTTTGCTTTATAAGATGCCAGACCAAGGAGGGTTTTTTTCCTCCAGCCTTCAGTACAAACCAGAACTGTCACTTACTTTCACAAGAGGTTTAATGCCTCAGCTTATTATTCGCTTGACTTTAATGGTGGATGTACATTGAGCATTAGTGCTGGAATAAAATTACTTATTAGCTTGATACTGGCTTTACAGATGACTACAACATTTCTGTTTGATATAGAATATTCTTAGTGCCTATTGGTGCTACTATATACAAGTAGAAGCAAAAATCTGAATTGTAAATTAACAACTGCTTATTATGTATTGGCAACACCTCAAAAAGTGTTCCAGTTGGCCCTCTTCTGGCACAGCTTTTTGTGTTAATTATCAGTTTTGGTTTGTGGTGGGCTTTTTAAAACAAAACAATTAAAAATAAAGTGGTACAATTCAGACGGGAACTTGAGCCACTTTAGCACCACTCAAACCCTGCCACCTTTAAGTGATTTGCCTCCTGGCTTATCAAATACCCCAAGGAGAATTCAGATGCCAATTTATGGAATTACCTCGATGAACTGTGATTTCGAGATAAGTGTAAATCATTCCACGCGTAGCATTTAAAGTGTATCTGCCCACAGTGTTGGCAAAAATGAAAAGAAGTGTCAAATGCTTGTGAAAGTTCTGTAACTACAGACAATAAGGGACTGTTTTGCTTTTCCTTCCCCAATGCTTCCTAACTCCCAGTACCTACTGGCTGTGGTATGTGTATAGCTCTCTGCTAATTAAGTTATTCTAACACAAATTGACTTAATCCTAGTGCTTCCGTTTTTCCCACCTCCAGTCAGCAGAACTGAATTTTGTTGCCATGGCATAATCTTGTGGAGGAAGAGAATTTAAATAATGACACTGGCTGAGCCTGACCCTTGGTCATTCAGTGCAATGTCTGGAAATGTATAATAACTGCAAAGGAGGAGGGGATCATTCTGGTATGGCGGGGGCTCAGCGAACCATTCTGTATGTACATATGGGAGGTGACAGATCATGTGAGCAAAAACAACCACCAAACAAGGCAACAGGAAGAGGAGACAGTGAACTTCAGGCAAGGTGTATATATGTGATTCTGTGGCTTTCCCTTTACATCTGGAGAGGACAGACCATCAAGCTTGTATAGCACTGGAGTTATGCTGATTTGGATATTCAGCCTGGAATTTGCACTGAACTCTTTATAAAATACATTGTGGTGGCTTTAGAAGTCAGTACAGAAGCCTCAGACAGACCCTCCTGCCCCATTTGCACAAACAGGCATCCAACAGAGATTGTGTTGTATGGCAGTCAAATCAGTAGTGGATTGCTATGTGATCTCACAGCTGAGTTTGTCCCCTTTTTCCTCAAGGAAACTGACTGCAGAGTGAAAACCAAGCACTTGATTTTCTCTAAAAACCCTCAATGTTTAATAATTTGTTTTGACTGTTCTTCAGGTGGTGGGGCATAAATGTAAACTTAGCATCACTGTAATTAGACACCAAAAAAAAAAACCAGCATAAAAGAAGCATCTGATCTCATAGCTAAGGGATTTATGCTAACTACAATTTTTAATTAATCCTGTTACAAAGCTCTTTAATGAACACTCTTGACTGTGTTCACATTTGCTTCAGTCTACAAGTTTATTGCCACCACTAAAGGAGATGCAGTGTTATAGGTATAAACTTTCACTCCAGTTAATTATGAAAGATGAGTCATTTTCTAGAGTTTATCACTTGAAGACAAGAATGACCTTTGAATTTTAGCATTTTTTACATAGGCTGCTCAGCCCAGCAGGGATTTTTTTTCAATATGGTTTTGAGAAGGAAAAGTATCCACTTAAGAATTTTAAAGTTATGAAACAAAAAAAGTTATAAGAAGATTTCCTGTGTTTGTAGAAATTAAAATGGATTAGCTCTTTTTTTGCAGGTTGTTAGTTCTTGGTAATAACTGAGCACTTTTCTATTTGAATA